CATTATAGGAATTTGTAAGCATCAAAGAGTTTTTATTCACAGAACGGATGTACATAATATTTAGTTGTCATAGAGAAAAAATATGACAGAATGAAAGGCGGCAAATAATTAGTGCAACAATAATTATTAACACAAAATAACGAATGAAGTTACATATTGCATGTTAGAGATCGGATGAAGAGAGTTCCGTATTCGTCTCCATAATTTAAAGGCTATTAATACGCAATTTCAGTCTAAAACCGATTCGCAGAAGTTTTTCACCAAATCACAACTTTTACAGAATCCTGACAGCTCATGAATAAAGATGGAAGTTTTAAAACTTGTTCTCTAAATTGTTTTCTATTGTTCGAAAATAAAATGTAAGTTAAGTATTTAGTCGAAAACATCGACAGATAAATTAAGTAAACACCAGACTCCACTTTAGCTACTCACAATAAAAAAAACTAAAATAAAATTTTCATTAATAAAATAACGTTCGAAAATTGATATTAAAGTTATATTTTCGAACTATTTTGACATTGCGCGCCATTTTGAAAAGAGCATAAAGACTTGCTTCCCGTTTCTGTCACATTCATAAAGATTAATGGATACGATTATGGCTCAGGTATTACACTCATAATATTTGTTGGTTATTAATTTCACCACTTCCTAAAATTTAGTATTTTAGTAATTGTTATTGTTGCATAACCGCTACCTTGTGCTAGTAAATTATATTCCTGAGTTACCCATTGGCTCGTGTATTTCCACGCGTGGATTTGCTTTTAAGAATGTAGGACACATTTCGAAGGTCGAATACATACGATAAAACAACATTATTTGCGAGCACCATATTTGTTTTGCGTCATCAGATTATAAATAACAAGTGAATATATTTGCATATACGAGTACCTACATTTTGTTCAGCGTGGACTACGTGTATCTTATCTGTGTAATCTTGATGCATATCTGTGCTGCTCTGAAACGTCGATAATAGTGATGTGAATGCAGTATTTTTTACTAAAATCCCGGGCTTTGTACGTCACTATAAAATTAATTGCAATTTTATATTAAAGCCTCTTCGTTGAGTAATAATAAAAGCTACATTAAATATATTACACATTGAAAATAAGGTTTGCGGACCACAAACTAAGTCGCTCAAAGTATGCGGTATTTACATACGTACGTGTTTGTGAAATCCCACAGCCAAAGGGACTGTACGTCTTGAAGGCGCTGTAAATTACACAAAACGGGGCGCCCCGGGAATAGGCAAATTTGCACAGCACTAGAAGAGCGTTTAAAATATTCCGTCTATGTCTTCACTGCAATGCTGTTATTTACGAACGAGAGTTTATCCTGAGGCAAGGCTAAGGAAATTGTATTCTACACAATATTTTACCTAGAACGTGAATAATGAAATAAGGAAATAGGTAAACAAGGGACACGTTGCTAAAATCACGTCACTCCTTATTCGTAAGACAACTTAATCCTAACTAAGGCTTATTTATGCTTGACCGTGCCGTCTCCAACCAAACTGGGCTTGGTTTCATAAACCAACATGTTTAAGCTTACCCTAGTACACGTCTTGGGGAGAACTGTTCTATTTGTCTACCTTAAATAATGAATGTTCTAATTTTAAGCAATGTATTAATCATTTCGTAAAAATTCAATTTAAATGATGCTCCTTCTCGTTGTAAATATAATCCTAATACAAATAATTGTAGAGATAATAAAAGTGTTTTTATTTAATCGACCCAGATTCTATTCCTTCTTAGATAGATGACATTAAATAAAGGAAACCTGGAAGAATGTTAGGTATATAACACCACAATTCTTAATAAAATTATTCGCAATTCAGTAATCTCCAGGGGTCAGAGAAATCTCATTTAGAAACAAGATAAAAGGTTGAAAATGTCCAAGAAAATATTCTAGGTAACGGAGACCAGTAATTCTATTAAATGTTCCATCCCATTCAAATAATTTTTCTTGTTTTGATTTACAAATAAGTAAGTAACTAAATTACCATCGCATTTTTTCAAATCATCATATTTTTTGCGTTTAAATAATCACTCGGTGGCCGACTAGCAAACTAAAGGTAATGCACATTATTTTGACAATGTGACGGATACCCAACAACAGCCTTTTCTGATAAATCTACACCTTTTACTAGTAAATGTCGATCTCAACCCAGCCTGTCAAGGATGTAAATTATGGTAAATCCGCTCATGTAGAGGCCTATAGTCTAAACTTCTAAAGAGTATCTGAAGTCACCAACACTTTTTCCCGCGTCGCCATCTTTTTTCTCATTTAGAATAGTGTACTCGACAGTCCGGGCAACGGAATACTTTCCCATCACTATTGTTGTTTAAAGTGTGAAATGTGTGAATGTAGCTAACTAGAATGGCGATCGTCCCACGCTTCCTCAGTATGCATATGTATGAGCGATCAGAGAACCAGAATCAACCTGATTGCTGATGATCTGATGAACTTGAAGGTCATTGGAATAGATAATGTATCTATTTATAGATGAAAGACTTTATGGTTAATTTGACAGTGAAATGGGCGGGAAATTTTGTTATTTAGTGTACACGTGTGTCTGTCATTCGATCGAAATTCAAAAATCAAATTAAAAAATGTGTATTGCAACTAAACCATATATATTTACCTATATACTACTATAAAATGATATTATAAGTAAAAAGGTGTAGATAGGTTACAAGCGCTCAGCAAGTGATACATTAAAATGTGGCTAACTAGCCACACTTTCTCATATTTGTCTCTTTTTCACTCGCGATTATTGAATCATGTCATCTCACTTTGACGTCTAAACATACGAATTGTTCATGTGTGCATCAGTGTGTCGCTTTTAAAAATCGAATTTTGTTTAGGTAAACTATCTACACCACTTTACTTATAATATCATTGCTACTATAGGTAAGCAATCGACACCGCTCATTTACACACGCAACACCGAAGGTGTTACAAGTGCGTTGCCGAACTTCTGTGTATTGTTAAGGACATAAGGAAAGAGGAGATGGGCTTTGAGGATAGGGCAAAAGGAAATATTTAACATAACATAATTGTTGTTTCACGGTATTTAGCGAGGTCGTGGTAAGCTATACTCAGATTAATTCGGCCAATTTGTGGCAATTCGAGACGTAATTCAAGAGCAATAAGTGTGCTAATGTGGCTTTTGCTTATAGTAGCACTCTTCCCATATCACATGAAACTAACAAAACTACTGAATGTACACCCTACCTATCTTAAAACAGCCGGGGTTGCGAGGTAAGCACAAAGAGGCACCGCGACCTCGGCCCAGAGCAGGAGAAAGAACGGGAGGGTTTTAGTCAGTAAGAGTCTGACATTCCCTGATGATTTTGGCCTCACAAAAAACCTACCGTAAAAAACAGCTAAACCATATGCAAGACGCCATCACTTCTTTCATTACAAAAAATCTGACTTTATTTATAAATAAATAATATGACTTTATTTGAGCCACCTCCAGTACAATATTTTTCTTAGAATAATTTGATAATTAAATTAACTTGATACTTTATTGGTCTAGCTTTATTTGTTTAAGTATAACACTAATTTAATTGTAAGGTTTCAGCACTATATTTTTTTATATTAAATGTCAAATAAAGAGTATTTTACTTTAAAAATAATCTTACGTTATGTATTTAGACCGAGGCGAATTAAAAAAAGTGTTTTTATTTAATTTTACTTACAGTTATTTTAATTTGAGTGTAGTGAAAGAAAAATTTTGGGTTTTGTATATTATATATACTATTTAATTTTCATATGTGTTTTGTAACGCAATGTAAGAAATGGAGTGTATAGAACTGTAAAGAGTGTGTATAGATGAGTATTGGATTTATTTAAAAAGGCTGTAAAACATCATACAACAATCAATAGAACCTGCACGTCAATCCTATATTTGTTTGATTTTAAATCTTGTTCGAGTGTGAAGTAAGCGTCGAAGTGACGGGGAAATTACATTAATGAATGACACTTTTAACGTCATCTCATACTTTATCTATCAAAATGTTGCGGTCAATTTAGTTCAACTCGTGTGGAGCGCTAGTGTACTACTACTCACAGCGGATTCAGATTCGAAGTTAAGAATGCAGTCTTACAGAATCACACTGCTGAGCAGTGGATGAAACCGCACTAAAGTAGCAAGTAATACATGTATCGAGTAATATCGAATAAATTGCAACATTCGAAATATTGGCTTTCATCCATGAATATGTTCGTGACAATTTTTGGCACTATTGTCGGCTCTGCTCGTTGTTCAGGTCGACTAATTTAAAAACGGCAAAGGCTCAATGATTTGTTACAAGTGAATGCTTACATCTAAGCACCGCAAACTAATTATATGTTGTTTAAGGAAACTGATCAATCTATCAAGTGACATAGCGTTCAAGTCTCGAAGTGTGCTATTTTTTAATAAAAACATAGAATTTAGGATTTAAACTTTGAACTCTACTCATCTTTGTTTTAATTATTATTTAATTAAACATAGACATAGAGTTTAAGTATCGTTTTATCCTATTATTTTTAATATAAATAGTAGCATTATTTCCTTATTTTAAAAACACTTATGTACTTATGATTATTTAACAATGTATAATATCTTTTTACCCATTTTCGCCTGAAACACAGGTTGTCCTAGTTCAAGCACCCCATATTATGAACTTGGTATAGCTTTAAGCAAAACTGTAAATTCTAGATTCTATAATATAATTCTAAATTTTATTTATTATATATATATCTTATTAATAAGATTGACTTTTGAGCTCGCTGAAGTTCGAAGAGTTAGAACATCTCGCCTTTCGGTCCCTGAAGGGTAGATAGAAGTGCAACAGTTTTAACCGCACTACACGAAAATTTTCGACTAACTTTAAAAACACTCGTAAGTTGTGCTTCGACTGATCCGGGATTCTTGAGAAAAAATGAAGTACCATTATTCTACATTTATATCTGAATCGGCCTAAAAGTAAAATTAATTAATTGGTTTCCAGGTCACAATTGGCTGGAAACCATGGTGGAGCTTCCCTCAGGAGTGGGCGAAGAGGAAGAGCATCACCACACATGGACCACTGGCAACGTGAGTACCAACTTTATCAAATAACTATTCTTTATTTATATCATACGGTTTAGTTACGTAACAATTTAACATCAAACACTATGAAGCTCAGAAACCTTTAAAACAAGAAGCGAAGTGCTCACACAGTCACTCAACTTCTAGCATCCTTTGTTTGCAGTGCAATAATGGCAGGTGCACACTGACTCAGAGTTAAAGCGTGTCAGGGCATAAGCCGACCGGCCAGTCTGACACAGTGAAGGCGTAAATCCTAAGTTAGTAGTATTCTGGTCGTAAGCAATCTTTACGACGGTAACTATAGACATATTTAGTTTTTACAGCTGTAAGCTGTAAGAAATGACATGATTTTTTATTGTCTCTGTGTGAGTTTGTAAGGTTTTCAGACAGATTAATTTATAATTTCATCATTTTGAATTGTTTCTTGGTTTTAGTCTATGTTACCTAATAAGGAGCATTTTGAAATTATTAAACTAAAATCTAAAACCTAATCGAAACGAAATACTTTAGAAGTTGCAAAAGTCTACCAAAATCGAACCTCATAACATATACAATTTAATTATTATAAATAATAATTAAAAGAACGAAATTGGTGACTGCGGTATATTGTTGCGATTGCATCTACAGCCCCGGCTCGACTTCAGTTTTAGTGGATCTGTGATGGACTGATGGCTCTTTGAGGAGCGCGGAACGTTACGCGCTGCACGGTCACAATCGTAATGTAATGATAGAAAGAAAAATTCGCACTATGCACGTGACACCAAAATGTTCGTAAAAACGAAAAGAAAAACAAAATACAAAACATTGCATTATTAACGAATTTAAAACTAAAACTAAATATACGGAAAAGCAATCATGCCGATATACATATTTGTTGTAACTTATAACAACTTAGTATAAAATAAAGTTGTTTTCTCCGTTCCTAGGTATATAACTATGCTGAAATCTTAAACTAATCAACGGATTTTGTTACGTATCCAAACTAATATTATAAATGTCTGTCTGTCTGCTGTGCACGCCTAAACTACTGACCCTGTGTTTATGAAATTCGGTACAGACGTGGTTTGGAACTCGAGAAAGGACAGTTTTTAAACCAAAAATCTGCAGGAAGTCACTATTCCACGCGAACAAAGTCACGGGAAAAAGCTAATTTTTTAATAAATAGAATTATTGACGACATTTTTATATGTCATCCATATGCTCATTTCCTACCTAATCCATAAAAAAAATATAAGATTCATTAAATATTGGAGAAAATTAGTATCAGAATTGTAGCCGTGCAAAGATGGGACAGGTCGTTAGAAAAAGAATAAAGAAAAAAAAACAACATAATATGTTACTGACAAAACAACTACTAAGCAACCAGATGTCATCGCACAAAGAAATTGATCGAAAGACATTTCATTACAATAAGAGCCTTACTGACACTTAACCGATTTTATTTATTCCTTGTAAGTACTTATATAACTTTTCTTGTTACGCTAGATTGGTCATATAAGTGCCAATACTAAGTGGAGACAGTAAAACCTTGTCTTGTTTGTCTTACATTGAAATTATATTTTATACGCTTCCATAATATGAAGCACATATGGGATAGCCATGCTTCATCATGAGTGGGCCGGCTCGACCGGAGTGATACCACGGCCTCAAAGAAAACCGGCGTGACACAACCAAGAGCGTTGTGTATCGCCGTGTGAGTGTGTTAACCGGAGGCCTAATATATCCCCGTCTCCCCATCCCTTCCCAATCCTTAAATATCCGAAACTTTTAGCCCCTAAAGGCCGGCAACGAAGTTGTTAATCCTTTGATGTTGCGGGTGTCCATGGGCGGCGCTGATTGCTTACCATCAGGTAATCGACTCGTTCGATGACCTATGCCATAAAAAAGGAGCACATTTGGGATAGCCATGATTCGGCATGAAAAACCTTCCCTTACTCCCAAAAGACCAACAACGACTCAAGTGTTGCGATTGTTCTTAGCGACGATTGTTTACAGTCAAGAGAGTCACCTACTCGTTTTCCGATATAAAAAAAAAATATCTAAATACTAATATTATAATAGATGTTTGTTTGTTATTTTTTGACGTCAAAACGGCTGGGCCTATTTGATTGAAACATGGTATGTAGATAGGTGAAACCCTGGATTAACACATGCCATAGACTGCTTTTTATCTTCATACGACGCGGGCAGAAGCTAGTATATTAATACTACTGAAATTCTCTAAACTCAAACAGTTACATTATTCTCTTAAACAGCCTTTTACATCAGACTATTTCAAATAGCGAAACTTTAATTCAAACAAAACAATTTGGTTTAAGCACAAATAAATTACGTCACAGAACTGCGATAAAATAACTAAGTCACGCTTTTAAAAGTGTTTAAACAAACCTTTGTTTAATACACAGACAGACAAGCGAGACTCAACGGCGCCATTTTATTTATTTGGTGGACAAACTAATGTTTGCAGTTTTAATATAGCTAAGTTTACTTTAAAATATCTTCAAACAATTTTATACTTTGTGTACGAACTGTTGTGATTCACAAAAGACAAACATACGAAATGAATTGGAAAATGCGGGTTCGTTTACGTTGACTTTTCGAGAAAAGCTCTATTAGTTTCAACTCAGATGAGGGTTCTTATTCACGAGCAGCGTGCACGGTGCGGTGACAATGTCTTGAGTCTAATTCAAACTCAAAATCATTTATTCAAACTAAAGGCCCAAACCCTCCCCCTCCCACCATCCCTTCCATTAGGATTACTCAAATCCCTTATCCCTTAAACGTGCTGGTAACTCCTTTGGTGTCTATGGGCGGCGCCGATTACTTACCATCAGGTAATCCATATGTTCGTTTGCCGACTTGTACTATAAAAGCAAAACTTACTTACGTGGATTTATTGACATTGGCTGAGCGACGACATGGCGCCCGTGCTGCGAAGAGTCCCATTGTGAATTGTAGAACTTTTTTCAGTAAATTCATGTTTTTTTTTTTGTTTACAGTAAACTTAGTATTGTTACGAGCCTGACGTTACGTTCCTGACTATGCGGGCTTGGGTTACGGGATTGGATGAAATAAAACACTAATACTGGTTTTAGACTTTCTATTGCACTTAGATGACAGCGTCCACGGAGTTATCGGCGTTCCTCTCCAGCAGAGTCCGGGCGACTGACACAAATTTCCGTTTGCCGCTCACTGTTCACGCTGACTTTCACTTAACTCACTGCACTTCGCTATTTCACTGCACTGCACTATTTCACTCACTTTTCTTCTTTTTCACTTCTTCCTTTTCTTCCGAATCGCTTTGGACTTAGAACTTAACTGCCAGCGGTGAGCCGCAGTTCCGCTTATATACCCCCGGTCAGGTTCTAGAACATTCAATTTCGTTATTCTTTTTGATCGTCATGCCTCCAGAACCATCCAATAATTTCGTTATTCATTTTTATTTATTCTCCTTCTCGCTCTTTAATTTTTCATTTCTTTCACACAAATAATTCCAGAAAGTTCGACAAAACTTCCATCAACTAAAAAACTTCATGCTTACGGCGGGACTCGAACTCGGGGTCTCTGTGGTGTAATCCACACGCCTTACCGATTACACCAACTCGTGTTGACAATTCACGACGAAATTTACAATCTCTAGGCAACGTTTGACAACCATCCATTGACGTCATGATGTCAAAGAGTTTGAACCACTTTTCCGTCACACTGCCCCCCTCTTAGATTCGCTCGTCCCGAGCATCGTTGCTGCCGTAATACCTCGCCAACCTGTCTATATGGACAACTTTCAGAGGGCTCCTTGAAGTCTTCCGAATTCTGTAAGTAATGTCATTGATCTTCGTGACTATCTCATAAGGACCTTCCCAACTCGGTTGCAGCTTCGGAGATTTTCCCTTCCTTCTGACTGGATTATGAAGCCAGACCAATGACCCCTCTTCAAACCCAACAGAATTGGCTCGTCGATCATAGCGCGTCTTTGCGCGATCACTAGCTTGAAGACCGGCCTCTCTGATCTGCTCGTAAATGTCCAACATTTTTGCTCTTAACTCGCTTATGTAATCGCTAAACTCGGTGCGAGTGTTGCCAGGTGGACAGCCCGATACAAGATCTGCCGGTAATCTCAATTCCCTTCCAAAATTTGCAAATGCAGGCGTTTTTGCGGTGCTTTCATGTACAGCAGTCCGATAGGCAAGCAAGAAGAGAGGTATGTAAGTGTCCCAATCTCTCTGATGGCTGTCAACCACCTTTGCTAAGTGTCGCTCCAATGTTTGGTTGAAACGTTCGACCATTCCATCTGACTGTGGATGATAAGGGGTCGTTCGAGTCTTATGGATTCCCAAAAGTTTACAAGTTTCCTGAAAAACTTGGGATTCAAAGTTCCGTCCTTGATCACTGTGCATCTCCAAGGGCACTCCGAATCGGGTGAATACCTCGTTTACCAACTTCGTGGCTACAGTTACTGCCTCTTGATTCGGTATGGCAAAGACCTCCGGCCATTTTGTAAAATAATCCATAACCACTAAAACGTAGCGATTGCCCGAATCAGTGATTGGAAATGGTCCAGCGATGTCTAAGGCTATTCTCTCCCAAGGCATACCAACATTGTAGTTTTTTATCGCCCCTCTGCTTCTTGTTTGTGGACCCTTGACAGCTGCACAACTAGTGCATTTCCGGCACCAATCTTCGACGTCATATTTGCAATGCAACCAATAAAACCTCTCCTTGATCTTCACCAAAGTCCTCCTAATTCCCAAATGTCCTCCAGAAGATCCATCATGAAACGCTTTTAATACATCCCTTATTTTTGAACGAGGCACCACCAATTGCAAATGCTCGTCCTTGCCGTTTGTTGATTCCCATTTCTTGCACAGAAGTCCGTTATGCAGTATAAGGCTTTTCCACTGTGCCCATAAACCTTTCGTTACCGCGCTATATTGGGCGACGTCACTCCAACTTGGCTTGTTACCACTTCGTAGCCACTCCAGTATTGGTTTAATATCTGCATCTCTTTCCTGTTCTAATTTCATCGCATCATCTCCCCATGCCTTGTCAACAGTATCAGTCCTTATCACCTTAAGAAAAGCAGTTTCCTTCTTGGCACAATGCTTGCAATCTTCCACGCATGGGCGTCTCGATAATGCATCTGCGTTGCCATGAATTCTTCCACCGCGATGTTCGATTTCAAAGTCAAATTCCTGAAGTTGTTCCAACCATCTGGCTACTTGGCCTTCGGGATCCTTAAACTGAAGCAGCCATTTCAAAGCAGCGTGATCAGTTCTGATCAAAAATTTCCGTCCCAGTAAATACTTCTTGAAATGGTGCAGAGTTTTGACTACGGCCAGCAATTCCCTCCTGGTCACGCAATAATTCCTCTCCGGCTTGGATAGTGACTTGCTGAAGTAAGCAATAACCTTCTCCTGCTCACCATCGCGTTGTGAAAGGACACCTCCTATTCCGATATTACTGGCATCCGTATCAACTACGAATATTCCTTTCGCGCTGGGGTATCCGAGAATTGGTGTGTTACAAAGCCGTTCTTTTAGTTCTCGAAAGGCTCGCTCACATTCCTCGTCCCATATAAAGGCACGTTTCTCCTCTGTCAATCGATGCAATGGCTTGGCAATGTCCGAGAATCCTTTCACAAACCGCCGATAATACGAGCACAACCCAAG